CTGTTTTAGGGTGGAGTACCTCTTAAAATTGCCTCAGTATCAGCGTAGGAAACCCAGTTTTTGATGATCCCTTCAATCGTTGAAGACCAACAGTTAATATTGGTTTCTTTTAACAAAGACCACCATCTTTCTCGAACCTTAACCAAACAATTTGATGTTCCTTAACACTGTTAGTGTCCCCAAAAAAAGGTTCAGGCTGATTTAAAACAGTAGGAGGGCGCGTTGAGAAGTTTTAAACCAAAGAAATGTAATTTAATTCTGTAATAATGTGAATATTAACCACAATACAGTCATATAATCCAGTTTACGGCTAAAAAACATGCTGAAGTGTGCGGTACCACAAACTCTGAGCATGATAAGTGCCCTTGAGCAGCGTTCGTGAGTCCTGCTAACGGAGAGCGGAGGCGAATGCCTCTCGGGACGCGATCGATAACGTATCAGAAAATAACTGAAGAAACAGTGAGGTTACTACGAGCGTGTGTGTGTGTGTGTGTGTGTGTGTGTGGGAGGCTGAGGTTGTATAGATTTATTGACAGCATTAAGTTGAAGTGTTGAATAATGACACATATTCCTCCATAACTCGATTGTAGTTGTCAGACTGACAGTGAGTGAAACCTGCAGTAACACTGACGGCAGGTTCTCTGGAGCAGCCCCGTTGTGTTGGTGTTGTGGACTTTGTGGATGATCTTCCAGCCGTGTTTGTGTTCGGCTGTGACACCTGCAGCACCGCATGACGTCTGGCAGAGTGTCCCAAAATCCACCCGACACTGTTTAATTCACGTCTGAGCAGGAAAACTTTAATATATTACAATTTATTACATGCAGACTTACTTCAGCTTCATTTTTGTTTCTGATTCTCATATTGCTTTGGTTAAAATGTGAGAATTTCTCTTCCAAATTTAGTGGTAGCAACAGTTACACATATGAAATGAACTTGCTACTCGAACTCCATTGATTAAAAACAGGAATTTTACATAGCAAATGATCATAAAACACAAATACAAAACTCACAAACTATGTCTCTTTTAGTCTTTCCAACAACCACCAACTCTGATTTGGTGGAAATGAATCCTTAATTCACCAACGTAGATGATTAAAACAGCAGTTTCATCCACAACAAACACTGACACATCATCACGTTTGAGGAGATTATTTCAAACATTTCACCTTGAACCTGTCGATTTACATCCAGCAGACACAGAGCAACATAATCGTTCATTCATATGTCATGTTTGTGTCCACCTGATGAATTTAACTCTCTTTTTGCTCTGTTTTTGGTCTCCACCAACTCCTGAGGGAAATATCTGTTCTCTCTGTAGCTCCTAAATGTTTTACTGTGTTCGATGTCTTTAGCCTTTAGCCTTTCTGTTAACGAGTTCTTGTGTTATATGTTTTCTTGCAGCGGGGGCAGGAAACAAGGCGGGCTGGGCGTTCGGTCTGGGCCTGGAGAGACTGGCCATGGTCCTGTACAGCATCCCGGACATCCGGCTGTTCTGGAGTCAGGACGAACGCTTCCTCAAACAGTTCAGAGTTCAGCACATCCAGCAGCCCGTCTGCTTCCAGGTACAAAGACCATCCAATGAGCTGCTGTTTGTAGAGCATTTAACCCAATCTCATGGTCTTCCTCCACCGAAGTTTATATTTGAGCTTTGATTTGTATTTTTTGTCAGATTATTAAAATAGCATCAAATGACATTTAATAAGGATCCACGTTCTTTGGTTGGATATATCAGAGCTTTTTGGACACATTGAAACACTTTGAATCATGACGACTGCTTGGATTTTGACTTTTATCGGACAAACCCTCATTACCTGTGTCTCTATAAACTTATTTTGAAGTATCACGTTAGAAAAGCGTCATGGAAACGGTAAAATTTGATAAAACTTCCCTTCCAAATTTCCCAAAACTAAGAAATAAGTTTGGATGTAAGAAACATTTAAGTCACATGACTGATGAGCTGTTTCCTACATCCTAACACACTGTTGCTCTCTTCTTCTGGTTGTCCGACTGGAGAATCAGCGCCACCT